TTTTTATTTACCTACTCTCTTTTTATATTATATATAATTAGGCTCAGTACTATAAATTAATTATATTTATTTAATTTATTTTTAAAGAATTTTATTAAACCCTCTACCTCTGCTTCTCAGATAATAAGAGAATATAATAATTTATATATTAAGATAAATTCTTTAATTAATCCTGCTGGTCTCTCTAATCTTGATATTAAGTATATTATAAAGAATTATAAAATTATTCTATATCTAATCTCTCAGGAAAAGATTTTTATTTTTTATAAATAATAATAGATAATCTTTTTTAATAAGACTTATTTACAGGCCTTAAATTATTATTTTATTTCAGTCAGAAAAAGATAGCAGCAGTATAAATAAGCTTTTAAAAAAATATATTATTTTTAAATAAAATTTCTTATGTTTACTGTATCTAATACTTGTATATATTACAGTATCCAGGAGTTGATAACTCTAGAACTAATTTTATAAATTACTATTTTTATAAAGACTGCAAGAAATAGAAATCCTTAGTTTTTTCTAGATAAATAATTAGATAAATACTTACTGCAGAATTATTATAGATATATTAATACTAATTATTTTTTTATTATTATTTATTTTAAAATATCATTCTTATTTAAGCTGCTAGGCCCCTACAGGCTATAATAAACAGAATTTCTATAATTAAATTTTATATTTTATTATTATCTGCTGTCTTTTCTTTTAAATTACTAAATATATTTAATTTTAATAAATAATTAATCTTATTTTTTTTATATCTTCCTGAAAGTCTAGTATACCTAATCAGACACAGGTCACAGAACATCTATTAAAATTATTAGATTAAATATATATTCAATTTTTATCAAGATTTCCGGAGACAGGACAAATATTGATTATTATTAATTATTAAATTAATCTAGATTAGAAAGTATTTCTTATTTTAACTAGATATTTTTTAATAGAAAATCTAGATTATTATAAAATATTATTAGAGTTCTAACCAGTGTTAAAGACTTATACTAGTAAGAATTTAGTTAAAATAATTATAGAAATCTTATAAAAATATTAACTAACCTGCCGGCTATTAGATGTGACTACTAATAATATCAGTAATAATAATATTATATTTAGTGTTATTATATTTAATCTCTAAAATTAATTTAATAATTATTCCTGATTTTATAAGGCTCTAGTGGATCTTGATCTTATAATTATAATTTAAAACTAATATTATATTTTATATTTTATTTATATTATTCAGCTTTCTGTCAATGTCTTTCTTTGGAAACTCTGAATTAAGGCTATAAATGAAGCTGTTAACTATATATAAAAAAATAATAATAAATAATTTAAAATCTTTTCTAGTATTTTCCAGATAATTAAGAAAATATATACTGGAGTCTTCTAAAAAATCTAAATAAAAGATTTCTAGATATTTTTTATAAAAATTTTATATAGAAACTTCCTGTACTATATCACAGAAGACTTTTACAGAAGGTATCTAAGAAATTAATTAAATTAAATTATTTTATAATAATTAAATATTTAGTTATAAATCTGAAAAATTATATAGTTTATAAATACCAGTCCTTAATACTAGGAGAAATTCCGGCTTATTTAATTATTAAAATTCTAATCAGTATACTATTTTTTCCTTGACTACAAAATCCAATGGAACTTAATTTATTTAATAATTTACTATACTTTTAAATTACACCAGTATATTAAGAGCTTTATCTAATACTAAAAACAGAATAATATTAATTATCTTTTTTTTATTTTAATAAAATAAAAATATTTAAAATATTTTTTTAAATTTTTATATCTATTCTTTCTTTTTATTTTATATTTGTTAGAGAACAGGGGCCCTACAGTTTATAAGATTTATAATATTTATAATAATTTATTTAATTATCTTGATCAGTCTATTAATTAATTAATATAAAAGCAGGTATCCTGGAAGCAGGAAATTCTTCAAGATTTAAAAAAAGTATATAAAAAATTTTAAAAGTATTATAGCTATATTTACAGATCTGAAGACTATATTTATATAATTATAACTATTCTTAATCCCATGTTAAAACTCAAAAAATTCAAGAAAGATACCTGATTAAATAATAATATTAATTAATATTAACAGTATTAAGCTGTCTTTGAAAAAGTATTTAATTACTATTACTAGTAGAATTCTGTTATTAATATATTATTTATAGTCTTTAATATACTTTTAAACTTAGATAAGATCTTTTATAATATCTTAAAATACTAGAAATTCTTATATTTTAATAAGATTTTTGAGGAACTCAAGGCCTATCTTAATATTAAAAATATATTAAAAATAATCTTCTAGAGACTGAATATATTAAAATATATTAAAATTCTTACAGAAATTACAGGATATACTAATATTCTTATTTATTAAAAATTATATTATAATTAATTTTTTATTCTTTATTATATAGCTAGGGACTTCCTAACAGTTATAACTAATAATATTAATATTAAATATTTATTTAATAGTTCTCAGGATATCTGTTATTACTACTAAAGTTATCTACTTCTAAAAACTATTAAAGCACTTATACTCTAGATATATACTAATTATTTTATTATAAATAAGAAGTATCAGAATATATTTAATAATTTTAATCCTGATATTATATTTATAATTAATAATGAAGAGGATGAGGAGCCAATAATAATATTATATATTAATAATTATAAAAATATAAATAATCTTGATAATAATCTAGAAAATAAATTATTAAAAAATTTATTTTTATCTCAGATTACTAATATTATATATACTTAAATATAAATAAATACTTGAATTGTAAGATCTCTCTGCGATCATGACTACAGACCTGGATAATATAAAAAATAGAATAAATAATAATTATTTTAAGATTATTAGTATTCTAATTTAAATATATAATTATTATTTATTACCTGGAGTTTTTTATAAAAGCTTAATACAGAACCTACTTAATTATCTATATTAGTATTTACTAGCTAATAATATAAACTGAGTATTAATAGATAATATAAAATTATTTAAAATACTATATTTTAAAATATATTACTAATAGTAAAATACTACTGTAAAGAATCTGTAAAAATTATTAATTAATTTATAATTATTAATTTATCTGCTATACCTGACCTTCTTAATCTGAGATTAAGAATGATTAATAACTATCTCTTAATTTTAATCTGATTTTAACTATACAGTTAAAGTGAACTTTATACCTTAACCTGACCGCCGGTTAACAGTCAGGTTACGGTTAAGGTATAACAGTCAGGTATAGCTACTCTCATTATACTTAATATGTTTCTCTCTGCAGGTAAGGCTGTCTGATATATTTAAAAAATATAACATTTATACAAATATTATTATAAAACTAACAGCGCAGTTAACTAAGTTAAAAAATTTTTATTTATTATCTTATCTATATTCTTAAGACTTGTGAGTGTAAGGATCTGATATATTAATATTATTTTTTATAGTACTAGTCCCTATTGCTAAGTATTATGATAAAAAATTATTATTAATTTTTATAAAAAAATTTTTTTTAATCATCAAGTAACAGTTTAGTTAGAAATATTAGCTTTTATCTCGAGGGCCATCTATCTGTTCAATATCTATTTATTATCTAATACTGTTCTTACCCCGCTTCTGGTCTGCCCCACTTTAATATATTACAAAAAAAAAAATCCTAAGGCCAGTCTTCAATCTAGAGAGGGAGAAAGAGATCAACTGGCATCTAGATACTGTCCAGCAATTAATTCTTCAACTAAACAGATGGTTTTTAGCTGGCAAGGCTCCATAGGTACTTAGCTTTTCATCAATAACTGTTAGTATAAAGGGCAGCTTTCGGTCCTCAGATATATATATTCACTGCGTTCGGTCACCCCTACCGGCATGCAAGGCTGGATTTCCATTGGTCGCATCCGATTCAGTGGAGTTAGTGCAACAACTTATTTCCATTACAGAATAGAGCAAATTTCGTCCCTTAAAGCCAACCTTATTATTTACTATTCGCCTAAAATTGATAGGTATCTAACAGTATTTTCATATTAGAATTTAATATAATTTTTACAATACCAGCTATACTGCAGTACAATATATATATTTTTTATATAGATCAGTCGCCTAGTTGGGTGGCAGGCATTTATATGCTAGTTAGTTCAATTCCTGTAATAACTAATAACTAAGAATCCCATTCTGCTACGAGTCATGATTAAAATAGACATTCATTACAAATATCTCTATCTTCCTGATATTATTATCTTCTGATATAATAAAGATTTTAAAGGCATTCTATTCCTTCTTGTCCTAGAAAAGGTAAAGAGAGCAGAATAGATAGTATATATAATAAACAGAGTACATATATGATACCATACAGAATAGCTGGATTATAAGCTGTTATCCCAATCTTTCTTGTCCCTCTCTCCTCTTTCAACTACTTGATATCTAATTCATGGTTCCTAATTGCTAGCGTGTGTTAGGGAAGAAGGAATATCTTCTTCTAGGCGTTAGCGACTTGGCAAGAGTGCCCTGGCTGCGTTATACTCGATGATTCGATAATAGATAAATATATAATTAAATGAACGAATAAATCAATAAATAAGTGAGTAAAGAAATGAGTAAGTAAATATATTTACATAGATAACAAATATTTTAGTATCATCTGTGCGGCTAGAGGGCAGAGCTTGTACTGTACATCCCTATTCATAGCTTCAGCATTCTCACGGCCTCTGATTGTTCATGAGAGAATATTTCTTCGCTGTCGCGAAGAATATGCTAGAACAAAACGTAGATCTTGTACTTTATTTTCTTTTTCTTTTTACCCTTTTTGGGGGATAAAACGGTTCACCCCTAAAACATCAACAAGCTGCGTCCTTCACTGTGGAAGGTGTGAAACAATAATCCCGAGTATCCTATACATATTCTCTGTATAAGTTTTCTATTCAACTCATCAGCTCTACGTTGTTATACCCATTTTCGATTATTAAAGAAGCCTTACTGTGCTTTCTTCAATAAAAATGCCAATTTGATCAGCATGGTCCATACCAGTCGTGGTACCACAGTGCCAATACTTTCCTCTGGCCGCTCTTATTTCCTCTAACCTGTGGGGAAATTGGCTTGCATCTGCGATAAGTTCTGTATCGCTATTATCACGTTGATCATCATCTCGATTGAGTGGGCCTTTCATAGAAGCTGTATTAACAACGCCATCATTGATCTTCCAGTCGTGTGTATCATCCCCCAGAATGTTAACTTGGCATTCAGTTAAATTGTAGCAGCCCATAGCATATGCAGTTGGGAGCATAGGTGGGAAGACACTCGGTACTGGTTGATAATCCGGTGGCCCAGGAACTGTGACTTTGTAGCCGGCTTCCTCAATAAAAGGATTGATAATATAGTTCGTAGCCCAGCACATAACCTCGCGGAACGGAGTTGCTATAGACTCAGCAGACCACGCGGCTAAGGTAACGGCATTATCCGTTAATCGAGCGATACCATTGACAATTGGTATTGGTTTGGTAACTTCGCGAATACGCAACGGGTAATACTTTAGCGAATTCAATGTCCATTTTGGCCAGCCTTTTGGAAATGGTTTCACACAGCTGAAGGATAGACTGAAGTAGTATATATTGTTCAATGTAGGAATAGTTGAATTGTTCAAATCTCTGACCCCAGCAATCGTATTATCATAGAGTCCATTGTGGTTTTGATGAAGCCATCGGTACACCGGAGCGTTATTTGCGGGAGATTCCAGTCTCGCTCGCATTTCAGGGAAAGATTCCCTTCCTACCGCAGTTGTGAGTCTGTTGATTCCCCAATGATCAAGCTGCAGATCATAGAATCTGTTTTCGGGATCATTGAAGGAGAGTATTGCGAACAGGCGGCCAATTAGCTTAGTCTTTTCGTCAGGAGTCGCCGCCTATTCGCATTAGAACAATTCAAACAATATAGAAATGTGACATACTTTAAAATAATCCTGAATAGCATCAATGATTGTTGAGCCCCTGTGCGGCGTGCCGATAGTCGACACTGAAATCGTCCAATTACTGCGTCCAGACTCATTAAAGTAAGTCGCGTGCGCTGGGGAATCAAATTCAGGTCGAGTGGCATCTGTCAAGTTTCGCGAGCCACGTTCCATAAGGTGGAGCAAATAGCGAACCGTATTCCCTCCTTGCGAATGGCAAATGAAGTGAACTGGTTTATCTTTGCTCCAGACCCAGTCCGCCCATTCCTCTTTGTCATCTTTTGTGAATATAATCGGGAGTTTTCGATTCTTCGTATGCTGTTCATATTCATAAATTCTGGGAAATATGTCGCCGTAGTCCACTTCGATCCCCTGATAATTATTATGGTTATTGAATGTACCTTTTTTAAGGTCATACCAGAGGAATCTGCTCCGTTTCAGTAACACCCATGTTAAATGCTTTTATTTCCAGCACATACCTTTTAGATGTAAGTTGAGCATAAAGTTCACAGGCACGTTCCCAATTAGAAGATAAGGGCGCTATTGGAGTTACAATCACTGTTTTACCGTCTTCCGCGAGTTTCTGGGGAATGTTTTCAATTCCTCCCCAGTAATTGACGGCACCAAAAAGAGGTGTTCCCCATCCCGAGAATCCCGGAACTTGCAAAGTTAGGGCATGGTATTTTAGGTTTTTTTTTGGTTTTCGGGGGGTGGGGGGTATTACCCATCACAATAGGAACCTTTTGAGCATTTTCAGTATTAGAATCATGACTGTTGGTCAATCTCTTCGCCAGAATTTTTAGATTGTCAAGTCCTTCTGAACTCTGTTCTGAACCCATCTTGGAAGGTCTGGCTACTGCTGTAACGAACTCTTGCTTTCCTGTGTCAGAAGGTCGTTCCAACTCTGAACCAGAATTGCGGCATATACGGGTATAAATAGTTGAGAAAGACAGCCACTTTACTAAGCTAATGTAGACTTTATTCACATGTCAAATCTGTTCACGCGTGAAGCGCTCTCCGCATCTCCGAGGGGAGTTGTGGCGCAGATCAGCAGAGGCGGGCGTCCAACAACAGGTCAAGTAACGAAGAAAGTTCAATGAAAAGACAATAACTTAAAAACATGCTTAATATAGAAAGATCATCTAATTACCCAAAATTACTGCGTCAGTTTGCGGCGAATGTAACGTAATTATGATACTAAGCAAAAATTCATAGGATATACACTATTAGAAATATAGTAGTTAACCAGATGGTATGTCCAGCTCGTTTTCAAAGCAGCAATGGGTTCTGGTCATTCTTTGGGATGGGAACTCTAATACGCGTAAGGATTGAAGGGCCTTAGTAGACTGAAACTTTAATTAGCCTTTGAGACTGGCCAGCGTATGGGCCAGAACATGATAGTGGATTAATCATACGCCAACTGCTCGTAAAAGTCCTTCATTATGACATAATGGTACGAAAGCAGCGTCTTAAGAAAAATGAAAGAAATTGTTATGGGACAAGTCCTTACTAGGGGACTCGGCTACCCAGCATCATAGCCGCGCGTTGATTAATTAATATACACAAAACCTCGGATGCCTTAAGATCCTGTTTAAATATCAGCGATTCTTTTTTATCTAATAGATAATAATTTTCAGAATTAAGGAATAATTTTTAATATTAAAATTAATTTTTCTAGATAATCCACAGAACAGAGTCTAACCATTGTCAAACCCTAGGATCACTTCCCTGCTCCTGTTAGCTTAGCTCCACTGGTATACATACCGTTGAACTGGGTCAAGGAGGTATCAGGCTGATAATTATTTAAAAACAGCTAGTCTTAGATAAAAGAAGAGAAGTAAGACTAAATAATATAATATAATTATTTATAAGTAAGTATAGATAAGTATTTCTATAGCTAATCTTTTAAATATATAATTACTTGAAAATAATATTATTAAGCATGAAGAACAGAACTAAATTAAATATATAAAAAAATATTCTTATATATTTTATTTTTTATATACTATACCATATATTATCCTGTATACTATAGATTATATACTATATATCTAATTATATATTATTCTATATATTATAATCACGTGATGCGTGGCTGTTCTGGATATTATTTATTTAAACTAAGATTCTACTTAATAAAAGTTACTAATTATCTGGATATTATTATTACTAGTACTTTTTACCTGATAAATCTATTTTATTAATAATTTAATTTATTTAAAATTTATAATATTATTCTTTTTTCTTCAAAATTTCTTATTCTCTAAGAAATATAAAAATATATATTTTCTTATATAAATTAATTGAATCCTTCAGTCTCTTTTCCTCAGGATAAATTAATATACTAAAATATAATAAATATACTGATAATAAGTATTTAATTAATAAAATTAAAAGTTTTAATTATTCTGTAAATATTTTCTGTAACTTTTATTCTATTTAAAATAAGATTTATATTATAAGTTTATCTGCTTAAAGCAAGAAATATTCAGCCTGTACTTTATATAATTATAAATATAAAAAATAATTTTATAACAACCAAGAGTGGGATAAATTTAAATAAAATAAGTATACAATTACAGCTAATCTCAAGGCAGTCTAAAAACAGTTTATATAATATTTCTAAAACTAAATTAAGTAATAGTAAAGATTATCTGTTTATAAAAATATTAATAATTTATAAAGAATTATAGTAGTCGGATGCTGGATTATAATTCTAAGATACTAGAATAATTAGATAATAAAAATCTTCTAAGTACTAAGGATCTCTGAGAACTGAAGTATTTAATTATTAAATATAATATTACTTAATTTATTACTATATCAGATAATCTTAGTCTGACTTAGTTAATTAATTTTTTTTCTAAATAAATTTTAATCTATCTACTAGTAATAGTGCTCCACAAGTCAGTGACAGCCTGTTAAATTCTTAATAAACTTTTATATATTTTCCGAGATATTATACCTTTTTCATTCTTTTATATAATATAATTTTCTATTAATTTTTTTATAATCCAGAATTCTTTTAACTTTGTATTCTTATTTTATATTATTATTAATTTCTATATTTTCTGTGATTCTAGCGTTCTTTGGTGCTGGTTCTAATAACAAGATATAAAATACTAGATAAATTTATTTATTAACTTTAATAATTCTAATTTATAATTAACTAGTCATATCTTTTTTTTAATAATAGATAATTCTAGTTTATAGTAGTTAAGTTTCTGGCTTAATCATTTTATTTTAATATTTTAATAGAAAAAGAATACTTTTTTCTTTTTACATTAAATTTTATTTTATAAATTCATGAATTTAATATCTTAAGATAGCTGAATATATATATTTCCTGTAAATATAATAATATTCTAATTATATTAGTAACTGGTTATCTTTTTAATAATATTTCTAGGAATCTTAAATGATAACTATAATTAATATAGAATAATGAGACTCCAATTATCAAATAATTAGTATTATTATATAAAAATTATATAATAAATAACAGATCTGTTTAATCAGTTTATTAATAATTAATATAATATTTTAAATATTATTTAATTATCTGGTTAATCTTTTTTATTTCTCCATTTATTTACAGGTGATAAACCATTATTATATATTTTATAATTTCTATAAAATTTATAAATAATCTCCAGAACTTTAAGATAAATAATTTATTTTTATTTAATATAATATACTTTATGTGATAGAATAACCTAGCTATCAGGATAAAAGTCATCGGGATGATGTATTATAGTAGTTATAAGAATTATGAGATTATTAATAATGGTTTTATATCTCTCCGGCACTTATAAGGTACTGATTCCTCTGTAATAAGTTATTAATCTCTCAAGAATCAGTCTATTTTATAAATATAGACTATCTTTATTATTATCAGATAAATATATGGTATTTAATAATTAATTTCTTATTTAATTAACAGATTTTTTACTCTGATAAGTAGATTCTATCATATTCTAATCCTTTTATTTTGATTACCTAAGAAAGATGCCACCTATTAAAGATAATAAAGAAATAGAAATATCTAGTAATTAAATTAATCTAGAATTATTATTAGATACTATCCTTACTGTTAAAGAGATTCAACAGCTAGAAGATCATGTTTATTAATTAAAATAGATTATTAATCTATAATAAAAAATAGTTTATTTTTAAAAAAATAATTTTTTAAGTAAAATATTTTTAAAATATTACTGATTCTCCTTTAAATTAAATAAGAATAAAAGAGAGATTAAGTTTAAAGATATCTTTTATTTTATTCTAAACTTTAATCTCTAAAAGTATCAGGAATAGATTATTAATTTAGAATATATATTCAGAAGCGCTTCTAAGAAGTATTTATTAGAGAAATATAAGATTTTTATTATTATTAATTATATAGACTTATCCTGCAGGCAGAAATAGTACTATTTTATTAATAATAAGAATCTGGAAGAAAAATGATTTTTTAAAAGATTATAATTCTAATTCAAAGACTAGATCTTTATATTAATTTAAAATACTACTACTTTTTAATCTAATACTATGACCCAATTAGAACGGGCTTACTAGTAATATAGTCAGGATCTGAAAGAGTTCTATATATATCTTAATACTTTAGAATAATACTTTCCTTGCTAAACAGAGAAAAAAAGAATTTTATTATATTTTACTAAGCTACTTCTAGATTTAAATTATTATATTTAAAAGCATGTTCCACACTTACTAAAGGAGCAGGATGAAATAGTAGTTATTATTATTTATTATTATAAATTATAGAAGAATAGAGAAAAATATAAGTAAAATAATAATTAATTTAATAATTATAAACCACACAAGCGCTTCCAAGAAATTATCAGTAAAATTATTAAAGAAGATATTCTGAATTACAGGAAAAATCCTATTAAAAAAAATAATAATTAATTATAATATTTTATATATAAAAATATCTAATACCTTGCGAACTGATACTTTATTAAAGATAAAAGAGTTTAATCTGCTAGAACTTACTAATTTTTATTAGATTTAGAGAGAAAAGTAAAGAAATTAAAATAGATTCTATAATTTTAATTTCTTTATCTACAGTAGGAACTATATATTATTTTTATATTTTTATTTATATCTAAAACAGTCTTGAAATCTTTGCGGACCTAGATAACTGCGCTAAAGTAGATATTATTAATTATTAGTTTATTAAAATTTATAATCTTCAACGTGTCCCAGTTACTATACTAAAGATTAAAGTTATTAATTAAATTATTATTCTTATTTATAATATATGAAAAGTCTTTATTATTATTACTGATTTGCGAGGAGCCACCCGTACTTTTAAATAATATTATATAAAAATTAACTAGAATCCTCAACTGGAAGGCAGCTTTGTATTATTTTTAATAATTATATTTTAAGATCTATATATTATCTTATTAGCATGGAACTGCTAATAATAATTTAATATATTATTTATTTTATTATTCTCTGTTACTCAATTTACTGAAGCAACTTGAAATTTAATAAAAATATATATTATTATTAAGCTTCCTGAAGATATCTGGCTACTAGAAGAAAAATCTTATAATTTATTATTAAATTTTAAAATAATTTCTGTTAAACTCAAACAGTTCTAAAATATATTTTTTATAAATTTTTTTTAATAACTACCCCCTCATAGCTCTGCAGATTATATTATTAATATTAAATTTAATAAAATATTTTTTTATAGTCTAATATACCTCTTATCTGAAGCTGAACTTAAGATTCTATAAGAATATATTAAAAAGAATCTGAAACTAGACTGAATTTAATTTTTAAAAAATCCTGCTGGAGTCTTTATTTTTTT